GGATCGCAACCCTCGGTGTTGCTCCCACACCTCGCTCAGCCAGTGAGCGGGAACCGGTCTGTATGTGGGATCCGAACCCTCGGGTGGGAGCGCCGCCATGCTCCCAAGTGGCGCACTGTAGCAGTGCGCCACCGGGCCGGCCCATCCAAACATATTTTTAAATAAATATGATTAAAATGGATGCTTGCTAAATGAATGTTTATATGCTTTTTTCAATATTAAAACAGAGTTCGTGTTAATTTTATAATCAGAAAAAAACACCAAAAGTATTTTAAAAATTCAATAATTATGAAAATAATAATAGCTACAATTTATGGAACACCTATTCAATACCATTCACTGTAAGGAGAAGTATGTTCCTCAAAACTCCCGCAAGTCTCCCATAAAGAGGTGATTAGGCCTAATATGTTCTATAATTCTCAATATCAGAAACAAGCAGATTTAGAGGACAGTAAAATGATTCTGATTCAAAGATGATTAAGGTTGCCCTGGAACAAACATTTAGGAGAGGAAAGAATATGAGTATTTAATTTGAACTGTGTTATTTTTCTTTAAAATGACTCACAAATATATTCTATCAAAGTGGGATTCAACAATAGCCTATGCATACTGTGGTTATTTAAAATACGTATTCTGTGGAAATTAAAATGCAAAACGTGAAAGCGCTCATGTTACTGTGGTGTGATTACAATAAAGTAATTTCCCTTTGTCTTTTCTAAATTTTTTAAAAATAAATTCAAACTTATAGCAATTTGGCGTTTTAAAGAAATACCCTTTAAGAACCATGTTCATAACAGTGTCATCATGAAACTATTTCCCATCCCTAACAGCATCTCTTTTTTGCTTTATAAATAATCACAGAATAGTTTTCAAGGCTACAGAGGATGAAGTGACTTTAGGCTTGCTGTCATCACTGTATCCAGCTTTCCCTGGCTCTCCAAAGAGGAGAGAGGAAACCTCAGGGGGACAAATGGGGGTGACAAGAGCCTGTGACTGCCCACTGCCAGGGCTGCTCTCTTTTGCTCTCTAGCTGGGTACATTTTCTTGAGAACTGTTGGAGACAAGGTTTTACTAAGCAGCAAGTGATAGCACAACTGGGTATAGAAGTTTCTTCATCCTCTAGTCTCTTCTCAGCAGGGAACTGCTTTCAGGAAGATGTTCCTTTTGGATAATTTTTAAAAAGTGGAGGTGAGGCCAAATGCCGACCCCTCCCAGCAGCTGCACTGGGTGGGACAATGAGGGTGGGTATATTTACATGTTGAGATATGGTAGCTTTTCCATCACTGAACCCCCTGGATAATACCCCCTGGATAACTAAAAATAAATGTCAGCATAATTAATTGACATACTAATTTGTATTTGTTTTTAACTGTATTTTCACCTACCCTGGTCCAAAAAATTAGGCAGGCTTTTAATATTCTCTTTTATCAAGGAGATTTGGGATATAACCATCAGAAGCAGACTTTTCTGGAAGACAATCCCCTTCCTGATGTTTGTTCCCCACAAGCTTAACCTCCCTGAGAAGATCATGCTAGAAGGTGGACGGCTAACAGGAAAAGCGGTGAGGGGGAAAAGTGAGATTCTCCAGGACTAGCTAGCTGCACTACTGCCTGTCCGAAACAGAGCCCTGGGCAGGAAATGGTTGCCCAACGTTCCTATTGAGGCTGGATTCTCAACAACGACTCTGGCCTTAGTAAAGTTTTCTGTGTCTTGGCCTGGCATGGAAGTCGAAGAGACAAGTGACTTTAAGGGCCACATGGGTGCAGAAAATGTAGGTACCCATGGCCTCCATGAGGTGAAGATGTGCTGTCCCCCCCTTAATGTCTGTGCAACTTTGAGCCTTTCAGAAGCTCAAGCTTCTCTAGGGTGGGGGCCCCTCTCCCAACCCTGTGTGAGCAAATAGCTGAGACTGAATTTCTCCCCAGCCTGATGGGATAGGGCTTTGGATTCAGATATAATTTGATTTAAAGAAATCAGTGGGACTTACGTTGTATGCCCAAGTTTATGAAGAGTCACATCTGCTACAAATATCCACAGCCAATATGACATTGCTAAACTGGAATACATGCTTTAGTCTGAATTATTCAGCCTCTCCACCCTCCAATATCCACCATCAAGGTTTCTCCTAGAACTGAAAAATTCAGGGCATAGGCATCTGGGTCTGAGTATCCCTTGTAACATAGCACTGTTGTGTTATAGCATGATTACTAGCCAGGTTCTTTGGGGACATGTTTTCAAAAATGTGCATTTAAAAAAAAATCACTGATTTTATGGTATACCCTCTCCCCAAGCTACCATGTTATATAAAAAATATTCCCCAGCATATGAACTCAGTCAACATGGAAGTAATTATAAATGCTGAGCAGAGGCATATTTCAATTCTCTAACAGGGGATGTCATCCGTATATAGCATGGCTCAGTGCCACAGTCCCCAAACCATGCTGCAAACACAGCAATGTAAACATGTGGATTGGATTTGTATTGATTCAAATGTGCTGCCATGAGAATAAACTCAAATTAATTTGTACATCAGTCCGAAACAAGCACTGGCTGCTTTTACCACAGAGGGGAAGAGTAGTTAGGAAATTCATTAACTAGGGCCCCAAATATACTTTTATTTATAGTCATGTCTTATGATATATTTAAAATAAGATGTTATTTTTTAATTAAAGCATAACAAATGAAAAGATGCTAAATTTAGTGTTTGATACTAAGGACTAGGCTTTAGTATCTGACAACTGCTACCAAGAAATAAGATTTTACTCACATTAATCATCATCTTTCACAAGCAAAGTATAAGTGGAATTCCACTTCATTGATCTACTAACTGTTCTTCCTTTTATCATCTGTTCATGTGGCTCCTTCTAGCTTTCACCCTATCTTTTTCCTTCCCACCTTGACCAAACTTTTCCCCAAGGTCCACACTGGCAGCCTTCAGGCTCTAATTCCTTCCCTCCTCATCTCTCTATAGTGTGGCCTTTGGCTCTTTCCCCAAAGAAACAACTCCTGCAAAGATCTCTAGCTACCTCCTGATGGTCAAACTCAATAGACTCTTTGTAATTTTTATCCTATTTGTTTTTTCTCAGTGTTTCATCCTATTCACCAACTTCCTCTTAAAACTCTGTTTTATTTTCCTTTGTTAAACCTACTGTGCAGTAAAGGATTAACTCAGCAGGCCTGGGTTGTCCAAACCCTGCATATTAAAAAAAAAAAAAAAAGTTTGGCCCTTGACTGGTTCCTGGGAGATAACCCCTAAGCCCTTGGAATAACCTACCTGATTAAGAATGTCTTTGTTTACCTGAGGCCTTGGGCCATGTCAGATAGTTTATGCTAACAATGTGATTTATGGTAGAGGCCTTGGGTCACACAGTATCAACTTGACCTTTGTAGAGACTGGAATCTGGATAGTTAAGGTCAGCCTTGCATGCAGTCACATGAGTAGACTGACACCCAACAAAAAACCTGGGATACCAAGGCTTGGTTGAACTTCCCTGATGGGCAATACTTATGAGTGTTGTTACACATGGTTGCTGGGAGAATTAAGAGCTGCCCAAAAGACTACTGGGAGAGGAAAACTGCAAGCTTGTGCCTGGTCTCTCCTGAATTCTACCCTATGTGCATTTTCTCTTAGTTGATTTTAATCTATATAAACTGTAATTGTGACTATAACAGCTTTTCTGAGTTTTGTGAGTCTTTCTAGGGAATCACTGAACGTGACTGTGATCTTCGGGACCCCTGACAACAGCCACTCTCTCAGTTCAGTTAAAAAAATTACATTTTGGGCTGGCCCAGTGGCGCACTGGAGAGTGTGCCGCTTGGGAGTGCGGCAGCGCTCCCACCGAGGGTTCGGATCCCATGTGGAGACCGGTTCCCGCTCACTCGCTGAGCTTGGTGCAGGCACAACACCGAGGGTTGCAATCCCGTTACCGGTCAGTAAAAAAGACAAAAAGGAAAAAAAAAATTACATTTTAGCTGCCATTCATTGTGCTAGGTTCTGGGTGTAGAACAAGTGAGCAAGACATTCTTTTACATATTAAGTAATGTATAGCCTGGTTTGGGAGGAAGTTGGTGAGAGAAGCCTGACATACAAACAGGTCATTTCCACAGAACGTGATATGCACGAGCCTGACAAGTATTGTCATTAGTTGTGCTGATTAATCACCTTCCCCATGTTGCCAGAACGAAAGCTCGTTAAAGTGTAGGGAAAAAGTCTTATTCATGCTTGTATCCCCAGTGCCTAGGTACTTCAGTGTTTTGTTTGTTATATCATTGAAAAAGAATGCTCTACTTTAATTATTTCTTTCCACTTACACTTTTGGTAGTATCAGTCCCTTGATACAACTGAATTTTCCCAGTCTTCCACCTTTCATCTTCATTTCTGGTCTCCTCCCATGCCAGGGCATTGTTACTGTTTTTCACAAACACTCGAAGTTTCCCTACTTTGTCTCCAGCCAGCCGGTAATCAAAGAGCAAACAGAAGTTGCTCTGGGGCTGCAGGTCGGGGAGATGAAGTTTCAATCGGCCAGTGTCCTTCTTGTGGCCTGCCAAGGCCGGAACTGCCATATAATAGCCAACAGCTTGAAGAGAAGAAAAAAAATGTACAGTTAATGAGGCCACTGTAAAGGATTTGGCTATAATGTATAGAACGGCTATTAGAAAATGAACAATAGTTTCCTATAGGGAATGCTGAAGTCCTTTTCATTTCAAACAGAAGAACAAAATTTTCATGGCAAAATAGATTTTAGGGATTACACAGTTGAAATCCTTTGTTATATAGAGAAAGAAATTGAGGGTCAGAGAAACTGAGGAAGCTGTCCACATTCAAAAAGCTTGAATTAAAACCATTTAATCTAATTAAAACCATTTAATCTAATTTTTAATTTATTTTATTTTATTAATGTTATTTTTTTACATTCTAGTATGCTGTTGCAGAGCAGTTGGAGGGAGGGGGAGAGGGGAAAGGGGAAGGAAATGGGATGGAAGAAGGAGGAAGGAGGAAGAGTGGGATTGAGGCCTGTGGCACCCCCCACATTTTAATTTTCTAATTTTTTAATTTTTTAATTTTTCTAATTTTTCAATTATAAAAAATTTTAGCTAAAATTTTTTAGCACTGCTGATAACTTGCAACCAATGGAGAACTTGTGTTCCAGAACTTCATTTCCACCTTGGTTATTTGAACCTTGGAATGCATTTCCCCACAGAGTCAATGCCCAGCACCTTAGGTGGGTCCATAGCGTGGTGTTTATTCCACAACCCTCACCTAACATCATTTGTACTAATAGCTTAGGAGAGCTCATATATCTCTACAAGTTATGATTTAGGATGACAGAACACATCTCCTTCTACTCCTGTGAATCTCTAAGTATCTTTTAACTTGCGGTAGTAGACTTTTGCTCATCTTCAATCTTCTGGCTGTGGCTTTAATGAACTTGGGCAAAAACTCTTACCAACTGGGGTCTGAAGAACTCGATAAGGAGGTGGAATTCCTATAGAAGCCAGGAGAAAGACACCGAGGATAGGGTGGAGTCTTCTGCTAGTGCAATTCCCAGGGACACTTGCAAGACTCAGGCTGACACTGCTTTAGTTTACACTGGGCCCAGAGACTGTCCAGTCTTCTTCCCCAGCTAGTAGGGTCTCCAGATCCAGCAAATAAAAATATAGGACGCCCAATGGAGTTTTAATTTCAGATAAACAACATGTCTGAGACATTAAAAAAGCATTCATTGCTTACCTGAAATTTAGGCACCTGTTCTGGAGGACACATCTGGGGTGCTGCTGCCCTGTGCTGCCTCAGAAAATTGCTCTCTACAATCGGGCCACTCTGGCTGGAGCAGCTCTGCCTCAAGTGGCCCCAAGTGTGATTCCTGCTGCAGCTCTGGAGAGCACAAGCCGGAAACTATGGCAGTGTCCGTGTGGTGTTAAGTCTGCAGGCTGGTAAAACGAAAGAGCAGTGGAGGCATGGCATTCTCCACTCAGATTTCAGAGGTTGCATGGAAAAGCCTGGGGGCCCAGGCAGAGACCTGATGCAGGGGCAGAGCCACCATAGAGCCCATCTACTAGAGCAATGCTGAGCAGAAATGTGGGGTTGGGGGCCCCACAGAGCGCCCGCACCAGAGCAAAGTCTAGAAGAGTCATGGGAGTGGGGCTAATGCCAGGATGACAGAACTGCAGGGCCACTGGCAACGTGCAACCTCAGCCTGGAAAAGCCACAGACACCAGCACAGCCCAGTGGGCTATGCCCAGCAGAGCCATGGGGGCAGGGCTGCCTGATGCTTTGGGGGCCCAAATGCCCCACTGTGCCCAGAATGCAGGACTTGGAGTCAAAGGAGATTATTTTGGAGCTTTAAGATTTAATGTCTGCCCTGCTAGGTTTTGGACCTGCCTGGGGCCTCTTCCTTCTTTCTTCTGGCCTATTCCTCCCTTTTGCAATGGGAATGTATACCCAATGTCTGTTCCACCATTGTATCTTGGAAGTAGATAAACTTGTTTTTGATTTTTACAGGTTCACAGCTGGAAATACAGCAGTGTTGGGGGCTGTTTGGGTCATGGGGGTGGATCCCTCATGAATAAATTAATGCCCTCCCTGGGAGGTGGGGTTAGTGAGTGAGTTCTTGCTCTTAGTTCTTGCAAGAGCTGTTTGTTTAACGGACCCTGGCACCTCCCCTCCCTCTCTCGTTTCCTCTCTCCATGTGATCTGCTTGTACCCGCCGGCTGCCTGCCATTTTCCACCATGAGTAGAAGCAGCTTGAGGCCCGCACCAAATGCTGCTGTTTCAGAATCATGAGCCAAACAAACCTCTCTTTTTTATAAATTACCCAGTCTTAGGTATTCTGTTATAGCAACACAAAAACAAACTAATATAGAACCCTACACTTTATCTGGTAACTCTACCAGCTATGCTCTCTCTTCTGTGACCCACTGAGGCAGGTTTCCCCTTCTCTCCCAGCTAAAGCCCCGTTTGAGCTGTCCTTGCACTTTTATCCCTTTAATAATGCTGAGTCATCCCATGTTCCTCTTTGATATTTAACTCTGTGGGGAAAGACAAGCCCACCTAGAGATATGTGGAGGCACAGGAAGGAATTAGTTTAGAGGAAGGATCTTTTAACTGAAGTCTGAGCCTGTACATCCCTATATAAATAATTTGATTGGTAAGGAACTGGAGTCCTTGAAGGTGTAACAGTTGTCCCTAGGTATATAGTGAGCCTTCAGGAGACAGAGATTCAATATGTGCTCCAAATGGGATGTTCAAGCCAAATACTCTACTCAAGGGGAAAGCTAGGGCCCATCAATAGTAGGCAGTGGAAAAGGCAGGAAATTTGCAGCTCAGCTGAAGTTTAGAAAAATCCAAGTCCAGGTGGCCAGAAAGAAATCCTCAAGCAACAGACAGGAAAGCTCAGTCTATGAGTTCAGGTCATTGACTTGATGCTCATTATGGTTTTCATGCTTTGAAGGTTGACTCTACCTCTAAAGAGTTTAGGTTTAGGTGAAGATAATATCGCCTTCCAAGACTTATTCCCCCTCACAAAACCCAACAAAACAGAACAAAACAAAACAAACACTATAGAGCACCATAGCTGCTAAGCTGGAAAAAAGGAACAATTTCTTTCTGCATTTTCCCCAACACTGCCGAACTTTATATGAATCCCAACATCTCTCTCTCTTAGCAGCAGGAGAGTGAACACAGAAGAAGTTTGCTGGAGCATCCTTTGTGGTGGAAGATATGTGGGAGAAAGATTAACAAGGAGTATATATGCTGGACCAATTTAGTCATCCATCAGGGAGACTCTCCCATCAGGGGAGACCTTGGAAGGTCTAAAGATTTCCAAAGATGACAAACAAGCCTGACCCAATAACCCTCCGTCATTGGTGAGCTTCTTTTCCTTTACCATACTGTAGAATATAAAATAGTCAAATCTAAATACCATTATTTCGATCAGCAGGATACCAGTCAAAATCATCTTCTTTATCTTGTTTCCAGTCACAGACCCCATAGTCAAAGCTGCAGTCAACTGAGATATTTAAATCTGCCAAGAAACAAAATTTAAAAAGACTGCATTTCATAACCATTAAGAGCATTAGAAATGTGTCTATCATTTGGAGCTCTGGGAAGCAATGCCATGTTTTCAGTTGCATAGAGTACAGGTTATGGCAACTAAAATGCCCTTAGGTATCCTTAAGATACCCTGTTTCAAGTTAAATCTGTGAAGTCATTCTGGATAAATTCTGTTGTGATCTTAAATACCAAAGACAAAAAAACCCTATTTTTAAAAAGATAAGTAATGGGCAAGATACCCATGAGCAAAGTGAAACAGAGAATACTACATAAGTAATTGTTCATAAAATTCAGACCAGAAAATAAAATCTCCTCTACTCAAACAAACTAGTGAAGATCTTGCCTGAACTTTCTAGATGATTTGTGGAATTTTATGTTTCATGTAGTCCATGGCTTACCAACATTCATTTAGCACATAAGTATATTAATCATGTTTACTTTTATTTGCTGTATTTTATGTTTTGACATCTCAGGGGGCCTTACAGACCCAGAGAGAGATGGCCCCTTCCAGGACCAGCTAATTCCTAAAGATAGTAAACAACTTACTTGGAAACATACCTTTCAAGTTAACCACCTCCTTTATCTAAGTCTCACATATCAAGCAAATATTTTTCCTGCCCTAAATCAACACAGAGCCAGGCACCAGGAGGCTAGGAACAGCCTCTATATCCCAAAGCCCACTTGAATTATTCAAAATACCCAATTCTAAGCAGTTTCTCCTGCCCCAATAAAAGATCTTTCCCAGGCTTTTCCCTCACTCCTGCTTCTGCCTCCTGACCCAAACCTGATGCTTGACCTGCGGCCCTGAGTGGCACGGTATGCCTCCTTCTCTCGGGAAATGTAAGTAATAAATCCTTCTTTCAATGGCATTGACCTCTCTGTGTCAGCACTCAGTCACCTCCATAAGTTAAAATGATGTTGTGAGTACAAATGAGACAGTAAGTGATAAACCTTTCTTTTCTCTACTTCACGATTCCAACATTCCAGTTAGAAATTTGCCACCAGTATGTAGGATCAAATAAGCTGGCACACTGCCAGTTTCTAGATTGTTTCTGGGTTCATTATGGTAGAATGACTTCCTTGTTTAGATGTGTCAGAGAAATAGAACAGTTGAGTCAGCTAATCTAAGTTTTGAACCAGTGCCTCTGGTTACTTTTATATAGATAGGGGCCAGCAAATGAACATCCTGGCCCAGTGCCTGTTTTTGTAAAGTTTTATTGAAACAAACCACATCCATTCCTTTACATATTGTTTTTGGCTGCCTTTGAGCTACAATGGCAGGGCTGAGTAGTTGCGATAGAGACTGTATGGCTCACGAAGCCTAAAATATTTACTAGATCCTTTACAGAAAATAGTTTGCCGATCCCAAAAAATACCACTGGGAAAGAGAGAGAACACTGAGGTACTTTTGATTTGTAACTAAGGCTCTGATTTGGGGGGTTCAGCCATTTATGCTGAGGAGTAAAGAAATGGCAGGGACAGGGAATAAGCTAAAAACAGAAGTGGCAGTCACTGATTTTTTATTTATTTCACTTTGCCAAATATTTTCACATACATTATGCCATTTGATTTGATTGTCAAAGAAAGTCTATCATCAGACCCATTTTTAAGAAAGTAAAACTGAGGCTCAGGGCCGGCCCGGTGGCGCACTGGAGAGTGCACCGCTTGGAAGCATGCCGGTGCTCCTGCCGAAGGTTCGGATCCCATGTGGAGACCGGTTCCCGCTCAATGGCTGAGCGCGGTGCGGGCGCAACACCGAGGGTTGTGATCCCATTGCCGGTCAGTAAAAAAAGGAAAAAAAACAAAAACAAAAAAACTGAGGCTCATAAGTGGTTTGTCCAAGTTCCGCAGGCACTGAGTACTGGAATTGGGCCAGAATCCCAACTAAGGCTGAGATCCAGGCTGTCCATCCTGCACACATCCTAAGCAGCACAGACACACTGCCCCTTTCCTCACTTTCCTTCCTTCTTACCCCCTATTTTTCCCTATGCCAGCAAAGATATTTTATTTCTAGTCCCAGTTTTAAAACTGAAAGATGCCAAGTAATATTTGCTTCCAGTCTTCAATATTCTTTAATGAGTGCTATTACTAGTTTGAGAAGTTGGTGTTACCATCCCACAAATAGTGGACCATTAACTTTTCAGTTGGTTCATAATTGTGGTGGCACGTTTGTCCCAAACTCACCCCTCTTCCTCAGCATTTGGGAGACAGAGCATGTAAACTGGGACAATGGAAGAGTCTATAGCAAACTACTCCATAAAAAGATAAAACTCAAGGCTTTGCTCTCATGAGCACACTATTTCATTTGTATAGTGCTTTGTGGTTTGCAAAGTGCTTTCAAATACATTCTCTGATTTAATCCACACCAGCCTTGTAGCAGATGCTGATGGTACCCCACCAATACCTGTCAGACTTATATTCCCTTGCAGGCAAATGGCTTTCTACTGTAACCCCCAACAATTCTCTGTATGTGGGTGTTCTCTGGCTGAGGCATTCTTGGCCAAGCCAGGAAGGCTAGAATGCTGGGGAGTTATTTACCCAGGGAGAGCCCTCAACCACAGTTGGACAGGAGCTGGTGGACAGATACCCCTGTTTCCTTGCCTTTGGGTAGGACCATTAAGTGCTGGAATTGACATGGACTGAAGTCAGACTGGAATCCAGGTTCTCTCCAGTTTTGCAGAGAGTCCAAGTGGGATAGAGGTCCAGTTGCCACAGTGGTGCCCTTCCCTGCTTTCATGACAGGCTAGGAATGCCAGGGAATTAGCACCTTCCTGGGAGTAGCCTTCAATCAACGTCAGATGGGAGATGGTGTAAATATACTCCTGCTCCCTTGCCCCTCCAGTAAGATAATTCTGAGCTATGCGTTCTACACTGGCTTCCAGAGTTCCCCAATGGGGTTGAGCTGCAGTTGCCCACAGTGGAAACTTACTTGATAATGCATTTTTATTGTTGTCTCCTCTCCCCTGTCTCATTTCCCCACTCCCCAACAACTGTTTTCTGGGATCGCCTCCCACACAAACCACTTGCATGCAAATTCCTGTCTCAGAGTCTGTTTCTAGGGAACCCAGCCTAAGACAGCACCTAAGAGGACAGTGTTGCTCTTATCCCAATTTTATGCATGAAAGCAAAGAGGCAGTGCAAGTCTAAGTGACTTGCTGAAGTCAAACAGCAAGTGGAAGAGGTGGGGTGCACCCCTGAGTCTTCTGATTGGTATCCAGCTCTCCAGGACACCTTACTCAAGGACGATTGGAATCACAGGGTCATGTGCTTATGTGCAAAATTTTAAACTTTCTGTATTTCATTAAGCATCTTGGAAGAAAAAGCAAAATAAGAAATGTGGCGGTTTGGTGATCCAAAGAGAACTCAAATAATTCATTAATGTTACTTAGCACGTGTAAAGCAGAGATGGGGAGGAACTTGTGAGCACCTGGAGCATGTAATTTATCCCCTGTGCTATGAAACATTTTCTTCCTAGCCAGGAAAATAGGTAATAAGATGTTTAATGCAGAGAAATTAAAAAAAAAAAAAAAAAGAACACTTAAGAGAAATGTGAAGGAAAACAAGATGCCTAGAGGAGCTGGGTCATGTGTTACTAGCCTTTGAAGAGTTTTTAGCAGAAGATTCTCAGGTCAAATTTGGAGGATTGAACTAGAGGGGCACTTTCTTCATAGTGGAGATTGTCCTACAAACCAAAGGGATAGAACTGGAGAATGTGCTCACAGGCTAAACACAAAAGGGAATCGAATTAGCACAAGGCCGGTACATGTATAGTGGTAAGTAAAGGAAAGTTTGAAAAGGCAAGAGAAGATCAAAGGCAGTCATACCTACACCAAGTGAAAGGTAAGGAGGCTTTTCCCTGAGGTCTGTGTAGAAAAGCCACATATAATTTGTAATTATAATTAGGGATCATGTCCAAAAAAGTCCAGATTATGAGGGTTTGATAGACTGATCCCAAAAGTGGTCTTGATTTTTATCCCTCTCTGTATCTACATTCTTTGCAATATACTTCTCAGCTCCTTCCCCAACTTTTAAATCTCAGCTGGCCTTGAGACTTGCCTTGGGTAATAGAATATGGCAGAAATGACGTTGTGCCTGTTCTGGGCCTAGAACTCAAAGGTCTTCTGTGCCTTCTCCTGGAATCCTGCCACTGTCCCATGAGAACAAGCTTGGACTAGCCTCTTGGAGGATGGAAGACCACATGGAGCAGAGCAGAGTCCAACTGTCCCAACTGAGGCCCCAGGCTTGTGAGAGAACACAGCTCAGATCGGCAAAGTCACCAAGCAGACCCACAACTGACTACAGACATGTGGCTGAGCCCACCCAGCCCAGCTCAGATCAGCAGAACTGCCCAGCCAATACACAGACTCATAAGCAGAACTAAATATCTAGTGCCGTAGGCCACTGAGAGTTTGCAGTTTGTTATGCAGCATTCTTGTGGCAATAGGTAACTGATACAGGCACTTTGGGCCAGGTTTTAGTACACTGTGATTTTTCAGGTTGTGAGCCCTCAGGCGTTGGAGTTGATGCAAATGAGTAATTTTCTCCCATCTCCACACATAGTCTGCCTCAACCCTTGAAGAAAATAGCCTTACTATATTGTAATCATTGGTACCAATCACACAAGCACTTACTATTTTATATTGGCACTGTGTGCCATGATGCAATGATTTTTCCACTGGGGGTTTATGAATAAAGAAGTGATTCATAAACAATCATCTCATCCTATGAAGACATGAAAATGACATGGGACAACGTGAAAAAGTATATACGTGAGAGCAGGCATTATTTACCTTTGTGTTCCAATCTGGAAGTTAGTGCTTTCCTTTGGACCAGAACCAGACCAAATTCACCTGCTTCATTCACCTTAGGGGCTAATGAAGAACACTTGATCAGTTAAGAAAAAAACCTAAAAGCTTACATGCTATGAAGGTATGAATCAAATGACCGAATAAAGAAGGTTTTATCATACATTCTAATTACAGAGCAGTGTTTCCCTAACATTTCCAAATCATTCACGATTCACACTGGTTCTAGTTTCCTCAACTGGAATATCTTTTTGCAGAGGTTCCCTTAGGTGAACTAAGCATCTATGCTACTGATATGTCCCTTCTAACCAGGTTTGGGAAATGCACTTTCCTGGGATTTTCCAGTCTCTATGGAAGGCAGATAATGTCACTGGTATGCTAGCTCTTGGATGGGTGGGCCTGAGTCTACTTTTCCTTTGGTTAAATCCAACTGGCATTTGAAGATATGATCACCAGTTATAGAGCCAAGAACAGACAAGGCAAAACAGAGAGGGAACAAAAAATGCCCAACAAAAGTGAAATGGAAACTTTCAGTGTGGGATCCTTCTGCACAGCAACCACTGAAAGGGGGGTAGGGCGGTTCTGTAGCTCATGCAGGAAACCGAAGCTCCGCTGTAGAATTCCCCTCCCCCCACCAGTTGTCTATCTTAGCTTTTAAAATCATAACCACACAGCTGTGGTTTCCTTTTCAAAGAGTGGGCCTGTACAAAGTGCTTTCAAGAAGTAAAAAGGTAGAGCATGGCAGACCCACGTGGTGAGGGTCTCTCTGCTGTGGGTGGTGGGTCACATAGGAACACCCCACCCCAGGTACGGGAACAGACTTCCCCTCCTTGTTTCCCAGAGCAGCATATTTGATTTGGCATCTATGGAAGGTAGACTTTACAGAAAACCTGCTTCTTAGGACTTAAGGCCAAACCCATTCTACCTAAGGTGTGAAACTGTCTTTCCCTCTTTCATTTACCAGGAGAAATCGCAATTCATCTTTCACCGAATGTGTAAAGCAACAAAAGTGATACCAAACACATCTCCTCGAAGGCGTTGCTCCTGTTCCACGTCGTTCTTCAGGGTTTTCTCTTCTCTCTCCTCTTCCTCAAGCTCCCCTTTCATTGTCTCTTCATTCCCTGTTTTTTTTTCATTAGAGTTCCCGCCTTTGGAAACACTCTTTTCATAGTCGAAGGGCTGCAAGTCAGCCTTAGGGGTGCGAGTCCCAGTGGGTTCTGGGGTGACATTTTTAATTTTGACCTTCTTTTTCAGGCTGTTTTTGTGAGCCAGCAACTTCTTGATTCTGTCTTTGATGGTACCAGGTGCTCTGAGGACCTCCTTCACAGAATTTTCAGGGATAACTAAAACGATTAACAGGCAAGAAATTCCAAATTGGCTGATAATTAGATCGCTCAGAAAAAATGGAGCAATTTAAAAGTGATAAAGTGTAGTAAGTGAACCCATCCGAGCCTCTACCATTTGATACTTTAGGAGGAACTGCATTTGCACAAACTGTTTTAAGCAGTTCCAATGTTATGGTAGTTATCTTAACTACCTTTTGTTAGAAGACGCTTTTGTTTTGCTTCAGAAACTACTTAGGTAGGGAAATACCTGCCACTACCCGGTTGGGCTACAGATCCCAAAGTGATGGATTTTCCAGCATCCTCTAATAATTCTGCTTTCATGCTGGTATTCCCCAAACTGGTGGTGTCCAGGAAGCTGTATAGATTTGTTCAAATTTGATGTTCAAAAATTACAACTTTAGCATTAGGTTACGAACCATATAAATTGCCAATAGTAGGCCATTTGTGACCTACAGACATGGTGATTCATGGTCTCAGTGTACACATACCTAATTTTCCTTCCCCTTTCTTTCTCCCCTTTGGATTTCTCCACCTTAGCTAACCACTATCTAAAGCTTAATGATTTTATTTATTGAATATTTTTTAGAGAGGCTTCTATATTTACTCTTTTAATTCATTTCCTATTTCTCATTATACAATTCAATTGCTTTTTATTTTATTTTTATATTTTATTATTATTTTTTTTTCCTTTTTGTCTTTTTTACTGACCGGTAATGGGATCGCAACCCTCGGTGTTGCGCCCGCACCACGCTCAGCCAGTGAGCGGAAACCGGTCTCCACATGGGATCTGAACCCTCGGCGGGAGCACCGCCACACTTCCAAGCAGTGCACTCTCCAGTGCGCCACCCGGCCGGCCCTCAATTGCTTTTAAAAATACACCACTAGGGGGCCGGCCCGGTGGTGCACTGGAGAGTGCGCCGCTTGGGAGCGTGGTGGCGCTTCCACCGAGGGTTCGGATCCCATGTGGAGACCAGTTCCCGCTCACTGGCAGAGCGCAGTGCGGACACAACACCAAGGGCTGTGATCCCGTTGCCGGTCCCCGGC